GAGGGCGGGGGCGCCATCTTGGTGCAGGGCAGCGCGCAAGATGGTGAGAGCCTTAAAGGGGCCGCCGTAATTCCAGCCTCAGCGCTGGACAGGCGAAGGGGAAGGTGGGGAGCTGAGTGCCTTCACCTGCTGTGGCAGGACGGCAGGTCTTTGGAGTCCAGAATTGACTCTTTTTGTAAAAAAAAAAAAGATTTACCTCTTTATTAAAGTTTATGACCCAACCATGATCAAGCCTTCTGTCATTACTTCATTTAATGTAATTCTATGTACAGCGACTCGGTCTCACAGCCTGCGGCACTGAGGGACGGCCGCCTCTGTCACTCAGGAACAACAGGGAGGAAAGCCAGGCCTGCCAAGGACAGCTTCAGGCCCTGATTCAGGCTGGTGTCACTGCTGTGAAAACACAGAAGGGTAAAAAATTATAGTTGCCATGCCCTGACATCACGTTGCTTCAGTTTTAGCCCCTCGGCGTGGTTCAAGCCGTGCGGAGCCCTGAGAGGAGCATCCGCCCAGCTGTCTGGACCTGGTGTGCGTCACCTCCAGGCTCACAGACAAAAAGGAGGCTGTGTCTTTCCTTGCCGGGGCCCTACCTCCTCTCAGGTGACATTAAACCCTTTCCTTAGCTCCTAAATGGTTAAAATCAGCTTCACCTGCTTAACTCTCTGGCTGTGCCCTGTGGAGGAAGAGGGGTGGTACACAGCCCAGGCCTGACCACCCGGTCCTCCTCTTACACACCCACGCCAGCGCAAAACTCTGATGCACGCCCGGTTCCCGTCCTTCAAATCGCTGAGCAATAACCGAGGCTGCAGACATCATCCGTATTTAGGGACCGGGGGCACACGGTCCAGATCGCTGGAGAAAATCTGGTGAACGTCTCGCTGGATGCCTCAAATAAAAAACAGTGGATACAACTAATATCAACATTTAAGGCTAGTTAACAATAAGAGAATGAAAATAATTTAGATTGCAGCTTTTACCACTTTTTCCTTAAGAAGCAGCCTATGTGACATTTCTGAATTGGAATATTTTGAAAACCCCGTTCCATTTCTCTAACAACAGCTCACCAAACTAAGGCCACTGAAAAACACAGCATTTGTTTCCTCAAAAGTGTTACGAGGATATATCCAACAGTAATTTTGTGGTACCTGAAAAAAGCAGGCTGATTCACTAATGGTTATTTTCATTTGGCTGACTCATTGGAGGACACTGGGCAGCATCATTTTTTTAAAAATTCATAAAGGATGGTTGAAAGGCATTCATTATAACTTCATTAGTATACAAGAGGCAGTTCTGAGTGGTGAAGAGGAGCCAATTTTAACTTGTATACACCAGCGATCACTGCTATAGTAAAATAAGCATATCTGTGCCTTTCTAGGAACATTACAGGTCTTAGCATCCTGCTGTAGCCATAGGCACAGGACTTGTACCAGAGGAGCTATGATCCCACCTACCAGGGGACAGTGTTGTAGACACTCACCAGCCCAGTGCAATAGCCAGATTTAAAAAAAAAACACACATCATTAAGAAGAATTGTTCCTGTCTAGATGCACTTGTTAAATTAAAATGACCTGAAGAAAGAGAGGGTCCTAATTTTCCTTGAGTTTTACAGTACAAACTCCAAGAAGGTCAGATAGTGTCCTTTTCCTTGCAGGCCGCATGCATATTATCCACCAATTTCTGCTGAATTTCAAGAGGACATTAAGGTGAAGTTACATGTTACTGTTGAACCAATATAAAGGCCAAATCTTGCCAAAGAAGGTGGGGGCTCATGCTCCTGTCCACCCCTTCTTCTCCCCACTCCCCTCTGCTGTGGTCCCTACCCAGATCTCTATTTCCTTGCAGTGCCTTTAGCTCTCGCGCCCACCCTGCCCTGAGCCAGGTCAACTCACGGACCTTACAGAAAACTGTCCACTTTTCTGCCAGGTTGGCTTTTTGCTAATTTAGCTAGTCAAGTGAGCTCTGCTCAGGGGCAAACAACAACCATGGAAGGTGCAAGGCTGGCAGAGGAGGGGGCAAAGCAAGCATAGCGAGGACAGCAGGAGGGAGAGGAGAAAATGGCATTGAGCCATTAGGTGGCTCAGGATGTGCTGTGTACATTCTTATGGAAGCAAACACAAGTTTTCCTTCCATCTGTTTGTTTCAGTGTTTGAGTTAAACCGAAGTTTAGAAAACAAAGAGTTTGCATCTGCCTGCACTGACATTCCCTCCCGCTTAGTCATGGCAGGGATGCTGTGAGCCCAGCGGCTGGACGTTGCGTTAGGATTTGGGAACCTTTGGCACAGCGGATGTCAGCCGCTTCCTTTCCCTGTGGCTCACTTTTTCCTACTGTGAAAGGGAGACGGTAATTACTCAGGAGAACTACATGACCTGATTCATCCGTGCATGTAAAGCCTTGTCACAAAAGGAAGAGGGAAGCCAAGAGAGGCAGATTTGCTCTCTACGCCTCACTTGAGCAATTGTCACCTCTCAAACCACTGATGGGGAGTCCAGCTCCTGCAGCCATGCACTGAAATCCCCCTCTGAGGCCGATATCTGTCTCCCTGCCCATCCACAGCCCAGGGGTTGGACGATGCTGCAGGATCCTGCTTTAGGTTGTATTGTGGACAGTTGGTCATTATCCTCTGATGAACCTGACGCTGATGCCTTCACCTTCTGTGCCTGTGATCCATTCTCTAATAATATTAAGCCTGCAGAGTGAAATTTTTGAGTGTCCGACTGACTTAAAAATTCATTTTTCAAAATGACTGAAGGCTTCACTCAAAGGGAAATTCCCTGCCATTGCCATGCCAAAGTAATTATAGTCATACCACAAAAATTATCCTGCTATAATTATGCTGGTATGAGCCTCCATCTGAACAATATGCTGAGGTATTTTCCCAGGCAGCCAAAATCCTCTGGCAGCTCTGGCTCCAAGCCTCCGGGAGGAAGGGACCTGCTCCCAAAAGCCCTCTCCTCCTTCACCCTGGTGCTTTAGAGAGTGACCTGAGATCTCTTGTTCCCCGGTACGATTTTCCCCATCAGAGTGTTGTAGCTCGACTCCTGCCTTCGTGCAGCCTCTCCGACTCCTCCCAGGAAGTCCCAGCTGCAGATGAAGCATTTCAGAGAGAGGGAGAGGGCGGCATGTGTGCAAATGCAGCCTGGGCGGTTGTGCCAGACTTTCGCAGCGTAAGGCAGTGTGGCCCAGCTTGATGTAAGTCTGTTTTACCCCCCATCATCCCTTCCGGGAGCTGCCTTGCGCCTACATGCGTGTGCGCTTGCTGGCTGTTGCTGCTGCATTCGTCCGTTCTCCCGCTGTGGCGTTGCACTCCACGGTGCGATGGGTTCAAGGGGACCCTTGTCCCCAAAGCCTTTTGGGTGCACCTGCGAGCAGCCAGGCTGGCCAGCACCGTGGGTGTGCTTGGGGAGCACCGGGACGGAGGAGACGGCTAGTGCCCACCGGCTGGAGGGCAGGAGGTGGTGAGTGACCGGTCCCTGCAGTGACCTTTCAGCTGTCACCTCCAAAATCCTTCGTGTGCTCCGTCCTGTGCACCCCACCAGGGCAAGAGGTGCCCCAGCTCCTTCACAGGGAGCGTACGTATAGCACAGCCTGAAATGCCCAACCAGGTGAGAGGCTCCCTGAGCCCTTCCCAGGCTTTTTGACTCTCTGGTGGCTGACCCCACTCCAAAACATTGTCCAGGGCTGGGGAGGTGAGGCAGAGCCCTCTGCCCTAGCCCCGGTCGGCTGCTCCCACTGGGAGCAGCACCCTGACCCCGGTGCTGCCTCTAGCTTTTTGCAGGAGCCTTGTGTACAGCTCTTACACCAGCTCTGTAGTTTTCTGTAATCCAGTGAAGCCCTTTTCACTGCCACACTTTTGTTTTGTCACCTGCAGGGTTAGTCCCCTCATTCCAGTACTCATTTGCTTTGCATCCCAAAGCAGTGTCCCCCCACATCTCAGCGCCCGTCCCCGACATGCAGCTGTTCCGCACACAGGGACAAGGTGGGTATTTTGCAGTCCCAAGCAATATTAAAATGTGACTTCCAGTTTTTCCATAAATAGTGCTG